TACAAGCTAGAAATTCTCTCCTCAGGTATGTGTGAAATGTGCTATTTGTGGGGCAGATTAACCCAAGATGTTACTTTTCTCTGCTTTACCAGTCCATCTCCTGCCCTATACGAGTTTCACAGCTGACAGGAACAGGTCCTTCAGGCAGATAAAGCTGTCACTTTTGACATATACCCATTTTTTACTTACCATTCCTCTGGTTACAGTCCTGAGGGTGACTAACCGAAGTACTTCCCCTTTCCTCCCCACATGCCCATATGGACTTGTGAGCTGCTGAAACTCTGGATATGAAGGGAAAAAAGTGACCTTTCATTCTGCTTTAGATCCTGGTTTCAACAATACTCATGGGTATCTAAAGAAGATATGTCCTAAATTTTAAGTTTCTAGTTCATTGGAAATGTAAAAATGAACTGTACCAGTTTCAGAGTGATGTTACACAACACTGTACATAGCAGATACTCTTTTGGAGCCTCAGCTGAACCCCCTTCTCTGCTCTACACAGCTTCAGACAGAGGATAAAATCCAACTCTGACACAACCATGGCAGCAAGTCCTGGAGAAAGCAGCAGGGACACAACTGCTCTGGAGGGTGTGCTCTGTGCTGTGGTACCTTCAGATGACATGGCATTACTGGGGTTCAAAAGCAAAGCAGAAGCTACAGCTACTCATAGCTCTGCTCCTGCTTCAAGTGTCCCACTGTGTTTGCAGGCAGTTATGTTTTAAATTGCTGCAGAGAACACAGGCAAACCCCCACCAGACTGTTTATAACCCAACACTTAAAGCAGGACGTTTACATGACAGCAGTGTTGATTTTTTTCAATTACATTTTTCCTTATTGCTTGTTATTTTTAATGACTGCTGGTCAACCGAATACCATGGTTTTGTGTTTATTCTTACGACACCCTCAATGTGAAAGCTGTTGTGCAGTGAGCACACTCCTCTGAGATCTGAGCAGCTCTGCAGAGAGAGGCAGCTGTGGCTGTACTGAGAACCTGCACACCATCTTCCTAATCTCAAAATTTCAGACTCGAAGGTCAAGTCACAGTCAGTGCTTGCTCAGGACAGAGTTCACTCAATCAGATTACCCTTCATAATCCTACAGATGCTTCACTTTAAGTCATCTTTGACAGTCTGGCTATCATTGTAAAACTTTGGGCACTGCATTCTCTACTGTAATATTGCTTCTGCTTTGTGAGGTGCCTTCACTCAATACAGATATTTCCTTGGAGCCTAACCTTTATGACTATGTTTGGAGATAGTGTCCTTTTGATAAAAGCATGCAGTCTCTGGAACAAACAGGTCTTTTGTAAAGTTTCACCATTTTGATCCTGAATGGAGTTTCTCCCTCCTCATTTTCCCTCGGGAGATTTTCTTCTAAATGGACATAAAGCCACTCTAGTCTGAAATACAGCTTATTATCCTGGGAATAAGAGAAACATACTTCTTAACTCAAAAACATGTCTCTAAATACACGGTTGAACAGGCTAAAGCTTACTGTTAGCTCTCAGAAGAAAATGTTCTTCTGTTTATGAGAACAAAATTTTGTATCTATCTGTGAAGGAATACAGAATATTTTAGCATCAAGGGACAAGAAGTGTGGGGAGCTTATGAATTTTGCATGACATAAGTGTTGCTATCTGTATGCCTGAGAGACCACTAGATGATTAAATTGGATATAGTTTTGTTGTGCAAGGAAGGATATAGATCCACATGCTCAGTGGTTATAGAACTATAGGGCAAGTGAACAAACAGATGGCAACTTGAGAATAACTATTAATCCCTCTGCTTCCCCTTACTCTGCAGCTGAAGAGATTTAAGCAGGGTTTCCACCTCTAGAACAAAATACAAGGCCCATCACAAAATTTTCTGAATGGGGAATGAAAACAGATGTGCCTGCAGAGTGAAATTTGGCACAGAACAGGTTACTCAGGCAGAGTAGGAGCTGAGGTGCCCTCTTTCCTCTACCTTATATCTACAGCTGGGAAAAGCTGGGTACCAGCCAGCTCTGAAAAGAGAAATACTTCATATGATGGGCTACAGATCTTGGAAACATAGGAACATACAGATTTAGCATCTGTACTAAAGGCCTATGGAATACTCAAGGTCACTGACTGACATGTCTGTACATTGCTGGAGGAAGGTACAGAATATTCCAGAACAACCTGGAGTCTCTGAAGAAAATCCTCAGATGTGTATTTGTCTTTAGATAAGCCTGAACTTTTGGAAGAGAGGCATACCCTGGTCTGAACTGGTTGAAAAAAGCATCAAAGGAAGAGAACTGCACACACTGACCAGCCTGATACAGGAAAACAGGTCACTCTTATTTAACCCAAGCCCTAACAGAGCCATGTGCACCGTTTCTGGAGCAGAGAACTGACAAGCTTTGCTGAATGGCCTGGCCAAGAGCCCAAAAGTCTGACAGCAAACTCAGGGCGTGTATAGACTGTTCAGTGGTTTACAGTCTGTTTATTTCTGCCATGACTTTTGTTCTTGGATAAGTTCTATTTAAGCCTCTGAAATCCAGGGTCACTGGCAAATGCTGCTGTTGTCCCTAAGACAATTAAATGACAGGTGCCACACAGTCCCAGTGACTTGGGAGGGAGGAATCACATCACTCACAGTGGGGTGATGGGAGGGTTGACCTTTAAAGATGTACTCTTAGGAGGCCAAAAAAGGGAGAGGAATGGAAAGGCAGCTGGCTGAGGCAGCCCATGTCAATCTTCTGCGAGGCAGTTTGTCCATCAGTTCTCTGACATCAGACAGGTAGAGAGTCTTGGCTTCCCTCACTGGAGGAAAGCTCTTCAAACCCAACTGCAATTGTGCATCAGCATGTGGAAATTTGCTCAGATGTTACTGCCTCTCAGCTGAGGAGACTTTCTAGACTCCACACATAGCACCACTGAATTGACTTTTTAAACTGCAACAAACTGCTAGATTTGAAATATGCAAATCCTGTTTTATCTCTCCCCTCAATGGTACGCTATCAGCAAACACAGTTGGCTAAAAAAAAGACAACTCTCCACTCCCTTGAGCAAGCTGGATGGATGGATTTAAGTACCACACATATGTGTGAAAACTTTTAACTACTTTATGAGTAGATAACAAAGTAAGCAGAGGAGATGGAAGGAAAAGCCTAAACCCAATAATTGTTCAGCTCTATCAACCTAGCTCTATCAACCATTATTGACTTTATCTGCAGAAATTTAAGCCACTGCTTTCCAGTATGCAATTACAAAACCTCTAAAAATTGTTAACAGCAGATATTTTTAGCATCAGAGGCACCAGTGTGTACCATAGAGTTTGGGGAAGCCTGGAGGCCCCAGTAGCAAATTTTTACTTACTCAGATGCTAATCACATTGATAGAAAGCTGAATCATGCATTTAATAAAATTACAACTTCACTGAAGTTGAATTTAGAATAGTTGCAGAAGAAAAGAGTCACTTAGTTTTTTGCTATATGATTTGCTTTGTATATAAGCTTTCATTTCAGGCACTGGAAAGGTTTGATCATTTTTTTCTCTCGCACTATAGAAGAGAAAGAGAGAACAAATGTAAATGGAGTTAGATCAAACAAAAGGCCTGTTTCTCAGCAGAGGCTGAGCCCTCATTTAAGCTTAGCTCAGGAGTGCTCTCCTGCAGCATTTTCAGAAGAGTGGGCTGTGGGTAGGTGTTTTGCATCTTTTGCAAAAGAAGAGATGTTCCTTACATTTTACAGTATGAATTTCCCTAAAGAGAGCACTCATCATACTGCCTAAAAATACAGTGTAAAATGCAGTGCTGTGTATTAATATCACAACCATACCAGTTGTCAGAGTTACAGACCAGCATCACCTTGCGCTGTGTTCTCTTGAGCACTTCTTTCCTTTCTCTGTAAGCAGCAGCTCTGGCACCTGGCTGTTCCCACAGACTGACCCTCAGTGATACACCTCAAGGCTTGACAAGAACTGAATATTTTGAGAAGGAACTGAATAAATATATTTTTTATATTTCGCAGGGTTTATTACAGTGAGGTCACCTTGTTGGTAGTTTACAATATAACATTTCTAAGAGATATGCTAATGCTTCATAAAATTTAAATATTACTTTTGATCTATTCCATAATATAAACCCACAGTTAAATTTATGAAGTGGTAAATAATCAGAGGGTTTTTCAGGCCTAATGTAAATGACTTCCCACATGCCTACGAATAACCAAGCAGCATGGATCTGGTTCCACACCACCACCAGCTTTGCTGTGAGCCCAGGTAGAAGGGAACTGTGCTGTGTCTGCTCCCAGTGATTTGTATCTACACCTCTTCAAGCACATTGCACAGCACCACCAGTGGCACAGGCATTCTGGGTAGCATTCTGGGATGGCCACAGGGTATGGTCATTCCTCTGGGGCAAAGGAAACACTGGGAAGGCCATGCAAGAGCAAAACAGTCAGAGCAAAACAGTCACCGCAAACACATCTTCCCCCATAAAGGTGTTTAAGCTCTATCACCCGCAATTTAAGCCTGTTAACAGCACTGGCTGTGCAGAGGGAAGGGCTTTATGTACCAAAAAGTGCTAATGTGTCATTTGGACTACCAGCTGAATTTTTCATTAGCAGTAGTTTCTTTTGGGAATTCTTTAAGATGATTCTATGATACTTCAGTGGCTTTTTATTTCTTGTTTCATGTTCCACTTAACAAACTGCACCTGTCTCTCAATCCCTACAAGCAGCCTTGATACCAATAATGTTACTCTGGTTGCTGAGGTTTTAGGTTCTCAACCTACTTAAAAATAATTCATTATTAACATCTGGGAAAAAAATATCACAGAGACATTTTGTGGTAGGTTACATGTAAGTGCTGCCACCAACTATGAGCATCACTGTGGCATTTCAATTTTACTAGATAAGTGACCAGCTGTTGGGACTCACATCTCAATGGACACTTAATTAATTTCTAGAAATAGACAGTTCTGGGAAAATTAATGATGTCTGTCACAGAGAGATCACAATTTCTGAAAAGCATATACCTGTTCCAAAATGGTGTTGATTCTGTCTACTTCACAGTCAATTAAGTATCTTTTTTCTTGTCGTCTGTCCATCTCCTCTATAATTCTTCTGAACTCTTGAACATCCTTTATACTTCCTACAGATCTGGCTGTCACTTGCCAGTTGTTCTGTACTGCTGCTTCCATAATCGCCTGAAGAATAGAAAATCCTGTGGGGGAAGAGACAACGCAACCACTTAAAAAGAGAACAAACACAAAACCTATTTTGAATGTTTGACAAAGGGTTCACAAAAACTTGCATCATTTAAAGGGACACAGAATAGTTGAGAGCCTGGAAGTGCTTCATTACTTGAGAAAGCAACAGTGCAGGGACCAGTTTCTTCTTCCAGCGATGCCACCAGCAAAGTCACTGACTTCAGCAGGATTGCTTGGTGGTATATTACTGCAAGGCCTATCAGAATCTGTCCAATATATCACATTATGATCCTCTCAGGGATGTTTATGGTCGTGCTGGGGTCTGTGCCAGCTGAGAATAGGAGCCTGCAGCCATTACTTGGGCAAAAGTCCATCAGACTGAGGAGCGGGCCAGAGGCGGTGATTTGCAGACTGCAGCAATGGGTCATTAACTGGCAGAGATCCAAGCACTGCACAAGAATGCCAATTAAGTCATTGCACTGGTCATTGGAGCCACAACCACAGGAGAATATTTTACTGATACTCACTTTGATTTCAAAAAATGCTTTTAAATATGGAGTCTAACAGCACTAACCACACTTTCAATGCTTTCATTAAGGTAATATCTACTCATTTAGCATCCTCAAGGGGAGAGAAGCAGCACAGGATGACCAAAGACTGCACAGTGGGAAATTATACAGGCAAGCAGCACTTCATTTCTTGTGAACAGCTGTGCCTCAGCAACAGGCAGAACTCAAGTCAAGTCCCTAAGTGAAAAGCGGTGGAACTGGGAATGGAATCTCCTTCAAGTCATCTTACGTAGGAGTTACCAGACATTGATATGCAACCCTTTATTATAGTATATAGATGGGGATTTGGTTTGATTCACCTGTTTTGATTAATGAAATTTAATTTCTGCATAGTTCTAATAATTTAAATTATGAGCAGGTGCCAATCAAAGAGAGAGGTCACCTACTTCAAGCACACAGTGGTTTTCAGTGGAGTTGTATTGTACAGAAGCACATCCATGTGACCTCTGTTTCTGTCCAGATAATTTATTTCCAAAACTTCCAGTCCAATTATTTAGTCATACAGTGGATTTCTTACCCACAGCCAGATTTGAAAAGCTTACACACAGGTACATAAACACAGAGGATCAACCACTCATTAATTGTGCTCTGTGATAACCAGTTCCCTACGCTTCTGAACCTGAAAGGAGTTTGAGCTACAGAGGAGCAACACATTCACAGTGCTGCAAATGACACCACGAGCTATTCTGAACTCAGACATCCTTGTCAGGGTACGGCAATAACAAAGAACTTGTGCTGCCGCCTGATCTTCCGTAGCCTGCTGTAAATCTGTAGTGGCTGTCTGAAGCCAGAGGAGCTGCATCATTACCTCATTACAGACACAAACAAGGAAAGAGTGATTTTCTGGATTGCAATTAGATTATTATCATTCACCACGTGACTTCCTTAAGTCTCACTCAAATGCCCTCACTTTAGCTGTGCAGCCTCCTTGATTCTTAATGCTTTCCTCTGTATGAATGCACTTTACTATCCCATGAAAGGTGGTGACAATTAATATGTACGCTCGTTTAGAATTCTTTCTGGCATCTTCTTTCCTTTGAGACTATTGAAAGAGAGGCATTTACATATGTATAGTACAATGAACTCAGTCTTTCTTAACATCATATTTTACAAAACTGGTTGTGATGTCTGTGACAGCATTGTGATTCCACCACATGTAGGAGGAAGATCTAAGCCTAAGATACTTTGTTGGCTGCAAACGAGGAATTTTGATGTGGGAACATAAAAACCATTAATGGGGATTTACAAATGCTTTGTGTACAAAGATGTGCTTTTTAAAAAAATATGATTCCACTAAGTTATAAATATTTACAACTTTGTTTCATCATTCATATAATGTCTAAGCATGAACCTTGAGCTTGCTGTAAACAACAAACAGTCCGTAAGTCCAATTTTTTTTTTACTCCAAACTGAGCAATTTGGTTCAACATATTATTAAAAATGACACTTTAGCTCTATTTTTTGCTATGACACATACAAAACTCATGAACTGTCTCAAGTAAAGAAGCAAAAGGAACGTGCCAGAGTGCAGATGCTATTGGTTGACTGCCATACTCCCTGTTTTAGATAACTGAGTCAGAACTCACTTTGTCAAACCTTGAATATCTCAGAAGAAAGCTGGGCAATTTTCCTAATTTTGTGCAATTACATGTTTATGTGGGTGTGAGTGTGTGTGTATTTTTGTATGTGTGTATTAGTCAGTGGTTACCATTTCAAGAGAGAGAAGAGCGATGTTACTCAGCAGCCTTTCTCCTATGCATGAAAATACAATTACAGTAAGCTTAGTGTGAAAAGTTCCAGAGCTTCCTAATTTCTGTGTTCTCCACCTCCTCTTTCTTGTCACATCAAGTCTTTACAGTCACAGTCTCCTCTACCCTTGCCAGTTCTTGAAATTCTCCCTGTGGTCCCTGTCTGTGCTGTGCCAGCTCCCGCATCTCAGGCCCTCTCCATCTCCCATCCTTGCCTCGATAAGAATCATTTGTCTTTCCTGTGGCAGCTGGTTAGGCCAATCCTCTGATGACCTTTAGAGAGCCCATTCTCCTTGCTTTACAAAAGCCTGGTTCCAACCTCCTGCTTTCAGGAAGGCAGCACTCCCAGCCTCCGGTCTCTCTGCGTGCCCACTGCCTTCAGCGCCATTTACTGCACTTTACATCGTTACCCATTACGTGTGATTTCTGTAAACAACATGTTCCAGGCTCCAGCTGTACTTTACCATTAAAAGAGCTGTTACATAAGCGGTGTGATTGTTTAAATAAAAGGACCATTTTATCTTCAAATGTGAACTTTCCTTTCTCCTTAGCATAACAATGCAAGCTGTGCCAGTTCAGGGAGTACTGCCTGGGTAATGAACGGGGAAATTATTTTCCCTGTTCTGCACATGTTGGTGACCAGGTCTGCACACTGCACTTTTCCACACCCTGCCCTCAGTGCACACACCCTGTGAATGCTTCACAAGAGATGCTCTCCCCTGGAGGTGTGGAACTCATATGGGTACCTCTCACCTCATCCCCCCCTAAAGGAGACCAGCCAGCCATGGCAACTATCTCCAGTCTGTAGTTCTTCTTTGGTGTGCATCAGATCTACTTTGAAAGACTAAGAATTGATAATTCTTCACAGGTCTGTGAAGAAGTCATGCAGGAAGGGCTTTCATTGATACTGTTGTCAGTTTATACTACTTCAATCAATAAAGCCAAAAAATATTAGTTAAAACAAGAAAAACTGTCACTCTCCTAGAAGACGACAGTAGTGAGATCACCTCAAAACCAGTTCATAATACCATCGCTAAAATTCAGAGTTGCTCATCCTGTAGTCACTAACACCAATAGAGACAACAGAAAAGATTTATTTAGACTCCAATCTGATCCTTCAACCTCTTTTTTTTAAATCATACCTTGGATGTGAAAAAGCAGTAGGATGACAGGCATGCATTTTCGTGAAAGCACTGCTTCTGAGGCTGGCTCATTTGCTGGCACCACATCCCTTCACTGCACTATATATTCCTACTTCTGCTAGGGAAGCAAAGCCTGTACCTCAGTTTTTCTACTCATTCCTTTGATACCAACATTTCTCAGCTGACCCTACTAACACAGGTGAAGAGAACATTTCACTCTTTTGCATCTCCGAAAGCTCACGAAACTTCTCCCACATCCATGAAGGCAAAATTCACCTCAGCAATTTGCTCAGCCACATGAAATTCTGTGTACTACATCACTGAACTCACTGTAGTTTAAATAACAGCAGTCATTAATGTGACATGACTAAGTGACCACACTGGAACATCTGTAGTGCCACATGAGCCCTCACAGTTGGCACCAAAGTACTTACTGAGAAAAAATTACCACTTATGTAAATCACTCTTTTCCTGAATGTCCTTGCTAAGATCTTGGACCTTGGCCTCCCACAGAAATGAAAGAGCATTTGCTTGCAGTCCCTCTTCCTTTTGCCTTGCTGAGTACCAAAGATCTATGAGGGGTGTCTTTTCCTGACATGCAGCACATTTGTGCCAACTGAATGAACATCAGCTCTGATCTGAATACTTGTGTTTTGAGCTATGTATCCGGGACGTGATACAAAGATCTACACTTCTGGCCCATGAGTGAACTTCAGGGATTTGTGTGGAGCTGTGTTTGACAAGGGCACAATGAACTCACCAAAAAAGGAGGCCATCCAGGCAAGTGATTCCCCAAGACAAATACAAATTCTGTAACACCAGCTTACTTTCAAGTGTACTAGAGGTCTGTAAGTTGAGATATACTTGGATATTCTGTGTGTTTGGCACAGAGCCTGGCACTAATTTGAAAGTGAACAGATCAACACATGAGTAAAAAAACAACCAGCCAACCCAAACCTCTCCCCATCATTCAAAATCCAGACATGTCCATGAGGCAAACACGTTTCCCATAACCTACGTCTGCTTAACAACTCCATAGTAGGGGAAGAAACAAGGAACAAACTGCTGACCGAGTCACCAGGAAGAGATGCAGCAAATCACAAGTACCCTGGAGTGCTCTTTCAGTCTCACAAGCCTAAGTTCAAATTATTAAATAAAAGTAGAATAAGTGTATTCCATCTGGTTTTGACCTGATCACTTCTAGCTGGTAACCAACATGTAAATTTTTACACCCCACTACTCTGGTAGCAGACAAGTAGCAAACACATTTCTACACCAAGTAGCAAACACACTCTAACACTATTTTTTCTCCGTCTGCTTTTTCTGTTCTGTAAACCTCTAGTTTCCCCTGTACATACATTACAATATTGCAACCTGTCATCCATAAACAGAGAAATATACACAAATAGATATGCCAGCTTGGTTGAGTGAATGTGAACTTGCCTGGCTCTAAAGGAGAATTTACAGGAACCATCTGGTTTGTATTTGCTTAGGATGGGATACAGCTAAACCTGCAGGAATTCAGAGCTGCTGAATTAAAGTAAAATACCTTTTC